AAAAAAAAAAAAAAAAAAAAAAAAAGTTTTGCAAGGAGACCATACACACAGTGAACAGAACTACTGCCACCAGGGCGTATTTATGGCTTAGATGGATTTGAAGGACACATATCTGCATGTCCCGATAAGGGAGGAATCAGAGAAGTTTCTCAGGGTTGCGCTGGAAGGCGCAGGGGCAACAATTCTATTTCAGTTCAACGGAGGCAGCATGCAGGGGCGTGCATCTGTAATCCCAGCTCCTTTGGTGGCAGAGACTCTCAGACTGTTTGAGTCCAGGAGTTCTGGTCTCTCCTGAGCCATAGTGGTTGGCGCGTCTGCCTTGCGGTGTATGGGTTGTGGGTTCGGTCCCCGACCGTGGCGCCCCCTGCATGGAGTTTGAGTGTTCTCCCGCGCTTGCAGGGGTTTCCTCTGGGTACTCCCATTTTCATGCACTCCCCTCCGGTCTGTCATCGGCTCCAAGGATATTCACCAATGTCCGAGCAGAACCGCTACTTTTATTTGCAAATACAGAGAGGGGTGTGGAATCCCACGTACGGTGCACAAATTCCTTCCCAGAGTACTTGGGATGGCTAATCAATAGGGGGGGAATATCCCAGCTAATACCTCCCAGAAGGATCACGTATCTGAGGTATGCCCTGGATTCCAAGAATACCCGCTTATACCTAACGGGGGAAAAAAAAAAAAAAAAAGCTCTCTGACTGCAGCAAGATACGAAGATCTTCCGGGGGATGGCGACCTGCACAAATGGGCAGCACAGTGGCTAAATGGTTAGCACTTCCGCCTGACAGTACTCGGGTCGTTGGTTCAAATCCCAGCCACAGCACCACCTGCCTGGAGTTTGCATGTTCTCCCTGTGACTGCGTGGGTTTCCTCCCACACTCCGAAGACATGCTGGTAGGTTAATTGGCCCTAGTATGCCAGTGCTGCAATGAGGTTAGTGGGGCGCATGACAGCTGCCATACCCGGAGTGCAATGGGCACAGTTTCACTCCAGAATACTGCAGGACCATGTCCTCTCCCACTGGGATGGCAGCCAAGCAGCCTTAGATTCCAGGATCCGCCTCACACGCATGAGGAATTCGCTAAAGGGGGGGGGGGGGGGGGGGGGAGAACATCCACACCTTAGAGGCTGGGAGAAAATGGCTGCAGGTCAGCCCGGTAAGAATCACCACAGATGTGAGTATGTCTGAGTGGGGTGCTCACATGGAAGACCGCCTGGCCCAGGGCAGGTGGGACGCGGAAATCTCGGGCAGATCATCAAACTACAAGGAATTGTTGGCTTTCCAGGGTACGAGAGGGGAAGGAAGTTCAGATCTTATCCGACAACACAACGGTTGTCACGTACTTAAACAGATAGGGGGGGCACGAGGGCCCCGAGACTGATGGATCTGGCAGAAACCCTCCTGAGCTGGGCAGAGACAAACCTAGAGTCCATCACAGCAGCGCATCTGAAAGGATATCTCAAACAGTTGGCGGACCAAATGAGCCGGAGAGAGGTCACTCAGACAGAGTGGTGCCTCAGCCGTACAGCATTCAATCAAACCTGCGCCAGATGGGGCACTCCCTCCGCGGATCTCTTCACCAACAGCCAAAATACAAAACTGGGGAGGTACTGCAGCCTGCAGAAGGACCCCAGGAGTGCAGGGAGAGATGCATTAGCCCCGCATTGGGAGGGAGACCTTCTCTATGGGTTTCCTCCGTTCAGACTGTTGCCGGAAGTGATGCAGAAGATTCAGTCATCCCAAGCCAAAGTCATCCTGATTGTACCGTTTTGGCCCAAAGGGCCATGGTTTGCCCAGCTGAAGGAATTAAGCTCAACGGACCCATGGATGATACCGCCCTCACACGATTTACGGGGGGCAAGGGGAGGTGCTACACCCTCACCCAGGAGAACTCTCCCTAGCAGCGTGGCTTCTGAGTGGGACAGGCTAGTCAGGAAAGGCCTGTCAGAGAAAGTGGTCGCCACCATCTTAGACAGAAGGAAGAAATCGACAAACACCGTATATATGATTAACTTGGAAGAAGTTCTCCGCCTGGAAAGATAGGAATGGGTCGCCGGGGGCTCCCATCTTACATACAGCATGGGAATTCCTCCAAGCCGGGGTAGATAAGAACCTGGCTGCAAATTCCCTTAAGGTGCAGGTAGCAGCACTATCAAACTTTCTGGAATTAGGATTGGCGGCAGACCCATTAGTAATCAGGTCCCTGAGAGCTATCTCTAGGCGCCGAGTCCTGCCCACGCCGAAGCACCCTACATGGGACCTGGGCACAGTTCTGAAGAGTTTTTTCAGCAACAACCTTTTTGAGCCTTTGGAGGTGTGCTCCTTTAGACTTTTTGACTCCTAAAACCATCCTGCTTGTAGCAATTACGTCTGCCCGCAGAGTCAGCGAACTGCAAGATCTGTTGGTAATAGAACCATACTGCACTAGCCTGCGGGACAGAACCATCCTCCGCACGGATTCGGCGTTTCTACCTAAGGTTGCGTCACATTCTCATAAGTCACAGGAAATAATAATACCATCCCTGGAGGGAGACTACAGCAGAATTGATGATCCAAGGAAGGGGGACAGTGCCTCCAAAGGCACCATCACAAGATGGGTAAGAGAGGCCATTTCTGAAGGTTATAGAGCTGCGTCTGTCACCACCGGCCAGCCTAAAGGCGCATTCGACCAGGGCCACCGCAGCCACCTGGGCGGAAAAGGCGGGGGCCTCCCCTGGACAGATCTGCAATGCCGCAACATGGTCCAGTTTCGCCACCTTCGCTAGACACTCCAGATTTGACCTAATCGGCAGCAAGGACCAGGTGTTCGGCAGGAAGGTCCTACGAACAAAGGGCCCACCCTAGAGCATGTATTTCTATTCTACTCCTCTCAAGTGAGCTGTCCTAGAAGATGACTCGGGAAAACGCAGTTATTTACCTGTTAACTGTATTTCCAGGAATCTTCTAGGACAGCGTAACTCCCTCCCGATTGCTGTGTGATTATGTACTAGGGTTTCGTCATGCTTGAAATCGTCATTGTGTCTCTACTACCATTTTTATGCTTTCTCCTAGGCCTTCGGTCATATTCTTATACTGAGGGTCCCCTGGGAGAGAGGCTACTTATAGAGGAAAAAGGTGGAGCGGGTGTTTCCTGGGAGGAGCCTATCTCTCAAGTGAGCTGTCCTAGAAGATTCCTGGAAATACAGTTAACAGGTAAATAACTGCGTTATGCTTCTTACGGAGCCACTCCTTGGTTATCCTGGCTGTGTGCTTCGGGTCGTTGTCATGTTGGAAGACCCAGCCACGACCCATCTTCAATGCTCTGACTGAGGGAAGGAGGTTGTTGCTCAAAATCTCACAATAAATGGCCCCATTCATCCTCTCCTTAATACAGTGCAGTCGTCCTGTCCCCTTTGCAGAAAAGCACCCCCAAAGCATGATGTTACCACCCCCATGCTTCACAGTAGGGATGGTGTTCTTGGGATGCAACTCATCCTTCTTTTTCCTCCAAACACGACGAGTGAAGTTTAGACCAAAAAGTTCTACTTTGGTCTCATCTGACCACATGACTTTCTCCCATGCCTTCTCTGGATCATCCAGATGGTCATTGGCAAACTTCAGATGGGCCTGGACATGTGATGACTTGAGCAGGGGAACCTTTCGTGCAATGCATGATTTGAAACCATGACGGCGTAGTGTTCTATCGACAGTGACCTTTGAAACTGTGGTCCCAGCTCTCTTCATGTCATTGACCAGCTCCTCCCTTGTAGTTCTGGGCTAATTCCTCACCTTTCTTATCAGTGATACCCCACGAGGTGAGATCTTGCATGGAGCCCCAGTCCGAGGGAGACTGACAGTCGTCTTTAGCCTTTTCCATTTTCTAACAATTGCTCCAACAGTTGATCTATTCTCACCAAGCTGCTTGGCAATTGCCCCGTAGCCCTTTCCAGCCTTGTGGAGGTCCACAATTTTGTCTCTGGTGTCTTTTGACAGCTCTTTGGTCTTGCCCATGGTAGTAGTTGGCATCTGACTGACTGTGGGGTGGACAGGTGTCTTTAAAGAGCTCAGACAGGTGCTACTAAGTTAGATTAATGAGAGGAGTAGAGGTGGACTTTTTAAAGGCACAGTAACAGGTCTTTGAGAGCCAGAATTCTTGATGTTTCTTAGGTGTTCAAATACTTATGTTCAGCAGTGCAAGACAAATAAGTTCATTAAAAAAAATTCAGGAAATCACATTGCATGATTTTTAAATTCTGTATCTCAGAGTGGGAATGCACCTACAATGTGAATTTCAGACCCCTCCATGATTTCTAAGTGGGAGAACTTGCAAAATCACAGGTTGTTCAAATATTTCTGTTCCTCACTGTATATCTCTCCAGGAGTTAATTATACGAGCACCAAAGGCATACCCAAAATGTACACAAAGTGTAAGTATGCACTCAAAAGAAAATTGCTAGCAGGAAAGGCAGAAGCTTTTATGGCAGAAGACATACCAAGTCTGTGCTGCAATAAAAGCCTACCTGTTTGCCTTTTTAAAGCACTTTAGTTCCACTTTAAAGCTCATTCCAACGTACCAGCTTCTGTTAGACTGTGTTACAGATGTTCTCAATAGTCGAGCATTCTCACTAGATTAGTTGTGGTTATTAAGTAGTATTGTTGGAGTTTTGGGTTTTTTAGCGCATTGAGTTAAAGCACAAATTAACTTTGTGTTTATAACTCACTAATTTAATTAGTCATTGTTTTGTTCTGTTTTTCAACGTAAAATCCAAATCGTTGTAATTACGTTTCTCCCAGGATAATACTTGTTTACTTAAACTGGATGACACACTTCCAGATTGTAATTGGATTAATAACAGTTCTTAAATTACATTTCGTCTTATGTGAAATTAGGAAGTACTTTGGTGAGTAAATCGGTTTAATTTAAGAATGATTGGGTTTCCTGCTTTGCAAATTATGTATAGTTTGGAATGGATGCAATGATATCCTAAAGCTTGACTGCATTAATATGCTTGTTTTGCAGCCATGAGCCACCTCAATGGCCAGAAAATGTATGGAAAAATAATCAGGGTTACATTGTCTAAACATCAAACAGTCCAGCTACCTCGGGAAGGGCTTGATGATCAAGGGCTAACAAAAGACTTTGCCAACTCCCCTCTGCATCGTTTTAAGAAGCCTGGCTCTAAAAACTTTCAGAATATATTCCCTCCTTCAGCAACCCTTCATTTGTCTAACATTCCGTGAGTAGTACCACTTTTCTATCACTACAGTTCCCTTGACTTTATATAAAACACTGAGTAACTTATTATTTTTTTTTAATTTTAAGGAAGAAAAGAAAAATGTTTTTAATAATTATCTATTAACTTATAAGATTCTGGGTGGTATTGAAGGTTTGCAGATAAAATACATTTTTCAGCCTGCATATTTGTCTTTTTTAATAAATTGGTATACACTGGCTCTTGTATTTTGCAAATAAGTAGATATAAGTGCATAGTTTGAATGTCAACATATAAACAGTTACACTAATACTCTCTGTTTATAAGATGACAGATTACTTTCTCAAGTACATGGTAATAATATCTTTCAAATGTGATGGAAATCCCAACTTAGTTGTCATTGGAAGAGTTCCTCTCTCTTGTTCTGGCGGAAATTGCTGGTGAAAATGGTGATCAGAATAACAGCAGTAATCTGCAGTACCCTGATCGTGGTTCTAACCCTTCACCAGTCTTCCCACCAAAGAGTATATCATATATACCCCAAGTATAATTTATAAAAAAAAAAGTGTAGCGCTCCCACATCTTATAGTGATGAAATAAAAACAATTGTTGCACCAACAAAATTACTAACAAATCCCTCAACTCAAAACATTTACATCAAATAAATTGCTATAACTCTCAAGATCGAAAATTGGTGAAAAAAAAAAAAGTTAATGTCTCTCCATCCAAAAGTGTCACAAACTTGTGTGCTCAAATAATGTGTTTATAAACTCCTAAAAGTGTCCAAAGAAATCAAAATGTTCATAAATATTCATCCAGAGTCCTCTTCATTCAGTGTCACCTTGTGGTCACCACACATGTACAAACATTGTGCTCACTATTAAGAATTGGCATATACTGTATATAGAAGGTCGATAAACACTTGCCATCATATACAGTCATGGCCGAAATTGTTGGCACCCTTGATATTTCTCCAGGAAATCATGTATTTCTCACGAAACGTATTGCATTAACACATGTTTTGCTATACACATGTTTATTCCCTTTGTGTGTATTGGGACAAAACAAAAAAAGGGAGGAAAGAAAGCAAATTCGACATAATGTCACACAAACCTCCAAAAATGGGCTGGACAAAAGTATTGGCACCCTTTCACAACTGCGGATAAATAAGAATGTTACAAGCATGTGATGCTCCTGTAAACTCACCTGGGGCAAGTAACAGGTGTGGGCAATATAGAAATCACACCTGAAAGCAGATAAAAAGGAGAGACGTTCACTTAACCTTTGCATTGTGTGTCTGTCTGTGCCACACTAAGCATGGACAACAGAAAGAGGAGACGAGAGAACTGTCTGAGGACCTGAGAACCAAAATTGTGGCAAAATATCAACAATCTCAAGGTTACAAGTCCATCTCCAGAGAACTAGATTTGCCTTTGTCCACAGTGCGCAACATTATCAAGAAGTTTGCAACCCATGGCACTGTAGCTAATCTCCCTGGTCGTGGACGGATGAGGAAAATTGATGAAAGATTGCAACGCAGAATAGTCCGGATGGTGGATAAGCAGCCCCAAACATGTTCCAAAGACATTCAAGCTGTCCTGCAGGCTCAGGGAGCATCAGTGTCAGCGCGAACTATCCGTCGACATTTAAATGAAATGAAACGCTATGGCAGGAGACCCAGGAGGACCCCACTGCTGACACAGAGACATAAAAAAGCAAGACTACAGTTTGCCAAAATGTACTTGAGTAAGCCAAAAGCCTTCTGGGAAAACGTCTTGTGGACAGATGAGACCAAGATAGAGCTTTTCGGTAAAGCACATCATTCTACTGTTTACCGAAAACGGAATGAGGCCTACAAAGAACAAAACACAGTACCTACGGTAAAATATGGTGGAGGTTCAATGATGTTTTGGGGTTGTTTTGCTGCCTCTGGCACTGGGTGCCTTGACTGTGTGCAAGGCATCATGAAATCTGAGGATTACCAAAGGATTTGGGTCGCACTGTAGGGCCCAGTGTCAGAAAGCTGGGTTTGCGTCCAAGATCCTGGGTCTTCCAGCAGGACAATGACCCCAAACATACGTCAAAAAGCACTCAGAAATGGATGGCAAAGAAGCGCTGGAGAGTTCTGAAGTGGCCAGCAATGAGCCCAGATCTAAATCCCATTGAACACCTGTGGAGAGATCTTAAAATTGCTGTTGGGAAAAGGTGTCCTTCCAATAAGAGAGACCTGGAGCTGTTTGCAAAGGAAGAGTGGTCCAAAATTCCGGGTGAGAGGTGTCAGAAGCTTATTGATGGTTATAGGAAGCGACTGATTTCAGTTATGTTTTCCAAAGGGTGTGCAACCAAATATTAAGTTAAGGGTGCCAATACTTTTGTCCAGCCCATTTTTGGGGTTTTGTGTGACATTATGTCATATTTGCTTTTCTGCCTCTGTTTTATATTTGTTCCAATACATACAAAGGGAATAAACATGTGTATAGCAAAACATGTGTTAATGCAATACCTTTTTTGTGTGAAATACTTGATTTTCAGGAAAAATATCAAGGGTGCCAACAATTTCGGCCATGACTGTAGATATTATAGCTAGGCCTTCTATCACACACACTCCTTGTGAAATTCCAACATATACACATTTTAGGGAGACATTACCTTGCTTGAGAATATAGCTTTCACCACATGCAACAATTCCTCAACATTAGAAAGTGATATTAAAGGCAATTTAAAAAAAAAAAATCATACTTGCCTACTCTGTGCAGTGGGTATGCAGAGTAGCTCTGATTCTCCTCTTCTCGGGTCCCTTGATGGCGTTCCTGGCCCCTCCCTTCTGCCTAGTGCCCCTAGAGCAGGCGGCTTGCTATGGGCGCAACCCAAGCAGGCTCGTTCCCGAGCTGCAGCTCTGCATGCCCATTCACACACAGAGCCACTGCTCAGCCCTGTCCCCTCGCTGTCATAATTGGCTCACTGGCCCTGATTGACAGCAGTGGGAAGCAGTGGCTCCCGCTGCTGTCTCAGCCAATGAGGAGGATGAGTCCCCGGAGAGCCGAGACTATCGTGCACATCGCTGGATCGTGATGGGGCTTGGGTAAGTATTGCAGGGGGGCTGGCTGTCACACACCACTTTAAAGTTTATAAAATATCTCAAAATTTTACGTAAACAGAACTTGTAATAGTACATGCAGTGGCATCTGTGCTTTTACTCCAGTACAGCACAGCAGTCATTTAGTTCACCTGGCGACTATCAGAATTTCTTCCAGTAGTGCATTGATGTCATGGACCAATCCTGCTTGACACGTGTCTTAGTGGGGCTTCTTGAAAGCTAGGAACCAATCAGGAACCGCTTGATGTTACTGAACCACTGAAGAAATCCCATAAGCCAAAGAACAAACATCTCAGGGTTCTAGTTAAATGGTATGGGATCCTCCTGCGCTCATGGGAATAACTGACACAATACAGCTGCTGTCACTTTAACTAATACCAATAAGTGCAAGAAATAAACATAAAATTAGTGAAGCGCTTGTATCTCATGAATACAATCATGTGTCTCCATAAAGTATAATAGTAAATCAAAGTGACCACGATATATATTAAAAATATGTGAACTCCCTCTAATGGATAGAAAAAATAATGTCAACCGAAATGACTATAATGGCTAAATATCACACATTAAGAACCTAAATATGTAGTGCATAAATCAGATATACTAAACAAAGTATATATACATGAAAACAGAATAATTGGCCACATACAATGGTGTCTAAATCAAACATAACTAATATATGCCATAAGTGAAAAAGACAATATCAAAGGTGAAAAAATATTCCATGCATGTGACTGTGCTTTAAGCTGGAACACACACGTGATCTCCACTTCTAAGTGCAAGTACTCTCCTTCAAATGGCAGCAATGCCTGCTCACCTCCCTTCCTCGACCCACACAGGGCCTCAAAGCTTTGAGGCCCTGTGTGGGTCGAGGAAGGGAGGTGAGCAGGCATTGCTGCCATTTGAAGGAGAGTACTTGCACTTAGAAGTGGAGATCACGTGTGTGTTCCAGCTTAAAGCACAGTCACATGCATGGAATATTTTTTCACCTTTGATATTGTCTTTTTCACTTATGGCATATATTAGTTATGTTTGATTTAGACACCATTGTATGTGGCCAATTATTCTGTTTTCATGTATATATACTTTGTTTAGTATATCTGATTTATGCACTACATATTTAGGTTCTTAATGTGTGATATTTAGCCGTTATAGTCATTTAGGGTGACATTATTTTTTCAGGGTTCTAGTGCTGGAATTCTTTTAACCTTTCTTATGCTGAGCCCACAAGTTGCACACCATGGTGTTGTCTCAGCACTTACTAAAGTAAACCTCCCAAGATCTGAAGCACAAACCTCTCAGGGTCCCAACACCAGCATTCTTTAATCCTTCTTATGCTGAACCTACTGGTTACTCATATAGTAGACACCAGACTGTCAGTGTAGTGAATGCACAAGTAAATAAAGACCCCAGATTATCATACACTTTACAAGTGTCTAAGGTCATATTGCATATCATATCTATGCTTAAAACAAATTCATATTCTATTGGTATACTAAAAATATGCGATTGGACTAAACATAAATAATGTACAAGAAAAATATGTATAAAATTATCAGTAGTCATAAATCTAAAAATACACATATCTTGTGTTATGATTGATTTAATAAAAATACTCCTATCTATGGAAAAAAATGTATATAAAATTCGGTATTCACTATATGCTTACCTGCTTCCCAACTGCCCTATAGCAGAAATACTGCATATATGTGTGCTTTTGTATTTCCAGGTAGGGGGTACGCAATCCCTACCCGCGCCACCATTCGCGACCACAGCTGTCAACCACCGAGTCCTGGTTGGTGATTACTCACTGGCGCCCAGTGATTACTGATGATCTCTGACGGGAAGTAGAACGGTTTTGTTTACTAACTGTTCTCCTCCCTTTCAGCTCGGGCACACTGCTTTGGATGGCTTTGCACAGCACAGCCATCCAAAGCAGTGTGCTTACAGTGAAGCACACAGACACCGCCCCATAGTAAAACACACCCAGCGCACAGTCCATTGATCGCCCCTCATGTTAACCCTTTCCTGCACAGTGCCATTAGTACAGTGTCAGTGCTTTTTTTTTTTTTTTTTTTTTTTTTTTTTAAGCTCTGATCACTGTATTGGTGTCACTGGGATTGTCAGTGACACCAAGTCAGTTCCCCCTAGTGTCAGAATGTCTACCGCAGTGCCACTATAAGTCACTGATCGCCGCCATTACTAGTAAAAAAAAATAAAAAATAAATTATTTTTAAAAATCCCAGTATATATACCGCCATTTGTAAACACTCTAACTTGCAATGTGTTTCTTTTAAAGTTTTATTTCCCACTTCTTTTGTGTTCATTTCAGGCAAACGATTACTGAGGAAGATTTGCGCACTCTGTTCACTAACACAGGAGGAACTGTCAAAGCATTCAAATTTTTTCAGTAAGTTTTTTTTAAATTCTGTATGCCATTATGTATTGTTTTATGGTGCTATAGAGTAATACACATATTCAGCAAAGCCTAGCAATAGTTTGAATGTAAGGCAAGAGAAATAGGCAGTGTGCAAGATATCCTATATGTTTAATAACGTAAAAACATTGCTTTTAGAATGGCAAGAAAAAGTATGTGAACCTCTTGGAATTAACTGGTTTTCTGCAGTAATTTGCATAGAATGTTATTTGATCCTCATCTAAGTCATAAGAGACAAACACAATGTGCTTAAGCTGATAACCTACACAATTCTAATTTCTTGTCTTTATTGAACAGACCCATTAAACATTCACAGTGCTAGAGGAAAAAGTAAATTGACCCTTGGAGTTAAAGTGGAATTATTGGCAAAACTTATTTTTTTTTTGGATAGAGTAGGGGAGGGTTATAAACCCTATCAGTTTATTTTTTGCCATCTATGTGTTAACATGTGACCTACAGCAGAGAACTAGAAGCTCCTCCTGCCATTGTTTCCCTGCAAATGGGTTGAATTTACACCACCTGCTTTTGCCGAGAGAACCTGCTGTTTTTTTAATTGGATTTCTGACATCACAGATATTGAATTCTAAATTTCTCCTAAATTGTAAAGCTTATAAATAAACTAAAAGTTTAAGTTTTACATAGGTCAGTTTACTTTTTGTAATTTTTAGGTGGTATCCCGGGCGGTTCTTCTTTAAGCACTTTGTGTTTGTCGATTTGTTGTGACTTAGGTGAGGATCACATTTTATGATAAGTTACCGCAGTTAATTAACTCCAGTTAATTCCAAGGGGTTCACAAACTTTCTTGCAACTGTCTACTTTTTTTTTAGAATACTGAGGGTCCATGTTTAACTACATGATAATGTATTTGAAATTGAAATCCCATTCATTAAAGAAATTTACGGTTTTTTTTTTGCATATTCTGGTCTCTTGCATATTCTGCTTCACACATTTGAAAATTATGTTTTTTTGGATTAGCAAGTACCACTTCCATAAGGTACTTGCTCCCACTGCCTTATTCTTCACATAGGCAAGGATGACATTTGCTGGGTCCGCAAACATCAGTACTGTAGACTTTTTGCATACACAATTGAGGTTCCTCTTTAAAATGTGGATAGTTTATATTCTTGGTCATTGGCATAGTATGTTGTTCTACAGTAGGACACATTTTATTGCATTCATGCATGCCAAGCAGGCATATTAAAATGAGTGGCAAAGGCACAAAAACCCATATACATTTGTGTGCATTTCAAAATCCCCTGCATCAAAATCCTTTGCTCTGAATAGATGTACTTTATTTTGCATAACACAAGAAGATATGTAATTCACAGGAAAACTTGTTAAAGTAGAAGTTCATCCAAAACTAACTTTACTCGCAGCCACATTCTAAAACTAATCTATCTAGCCCTGTAAAGAAGAAATGGCTATATTTTCTGATGCCGATCTGGTCTGGTCTCCAGCGGCGGATGATGTGTGCAGGAGAGAACCAACAACAGCAGTGAAATAACTGGAAAGTGAATTCACCCTTAGACTTACTATGGGGCTTCCATTGTCAGCTGCCTCTCCTGCACACACCTACACATCAAAGCCACCGCTGACAGCTCAGCACAGGACCAGACTGGAGCGGCTGCAGAACAGATATGTATAGCAATTAGTATATGGAGTATGTTTAGTGTTATGTTTTGAGTGTACATCTACTTTAAGTAGCATGCTTATTACTATAAAGGGCCTTTAGACATACCCTTATATGCTCACATTTTTGGGTATTTTATGGAGATTTTAATGTGATCGTGTAAAGTGACCCTGTACTTTGTATGTCACACGTTTAATGTACCTTGTTCATGTAAGTACTTATCTGTCACAACTGTTCATTCTTTGGCATGTTTTCATCTCACCTGAAATAGGGGACAGCCTTAGAGAAGTAGCGTAAATGCAGGCTCTTAGTTAATTGATTATGCTTCTGAATTTCAATAAAGCTGAAGTCTTTGAGTGTATAAATGTAGAATATCATTTTTTTTTTTTTTTGGGAATGAGCGGTTTCCTGTTTATTGATCTTAGTAACCAAACTTTTTGTTTCTCCACTATTATCTTTAGAGACCATAAAATGGCTCTTCTGCAGATGTCTACAGTGGAAGAAGCTATACAGGCATTGATTGATCTCCACAACTACAATATTGGCGACAACCACCATCTGAGAGTTTCTTTTTCCAAGTCAACAATTTAAAAAAAAAAAAAAAAAACACACAAAAGCAGAGCATCTGGGTTAATCGCATTGTTACATGTGTTGCCACCAACAGACTGTTCAGGAAAGTGGGGACCAGAGTTTGGCTTGTTTTTTTCACTCTGTTATCATTCCTTGGTTCATCACATTAATTGATTTTAAACTGCAGTTATACATTTGGCTGCAGGTTTTCAAATGTGACTATGAAGACATTTTCTGGTTACATTTACATTTTTAGTTTTTTTGTTTTTTTTTCTTAATCCATGGACATGTGCCTTAAATAGTAAGGTTTCTTTTTTTCTTTACCAACTTTTTACCATTTAGAATGCAGGCAGATGATCTTGGGCACATTGTTACATGTGAACTACAGAATTTTGCACCAGGAGATATGTAAAGAGGTTAAGCTTTGGTTCCTCCTGCTCAGAACTTCAACACAAGCATCAGTCATGTTCTCTCTGTACTGTGCCCACATCAACATTTCTTTCACTTTTAAAGCAAATCATTTAATGGGAGGAAAACTTACTGTTTTTATTTTTTTCTTGTTGGTGTTTGCCTTTAGACATGGTCTATTTTGATGTCTCTTAGTAAAAAAAATAGCATAATTTTTTTTTTGTAAAAGGCAAGGAGATGATCCTTAGAAGTCTTGGTCCTGTTTCGGAAAACAATGTAGACTCTTAATCTTTTTGTACTCTCTTGTGAATCGTATCATTTAAATGTTAGAACTAAAGTAACGTCTTATTTGTGGCTGAATATTTTCTGTAGTTTTTGAAGTTGACATGACTGATGTGCATTTAACTCTATATTTGCCATCTGCTGTTTGTAATTCTACTCGAAATATGGTTGTGGATTTCTGAGCATGTGCAGACTGGTAAAGTGATTTCAGAAACCGGTGCATGTACTTTATGGCAGGGAGCTCCTTTTTGACAAAGATGAGAAACTAGTGGCAGTTTTTGGAAAAAAAAAAAAAAAACTGACATCCAGGTGGGACCAAAGTTTATGTGCCTTTAGTCTTAATTTACCTTACATTGTAATATTCTGTTTTAATAAAGAACTTCAAACTATTTTGTATGTTTAAACAGACCTGACTTATAGACATGGCTCAGAATCTACTAACTAGAATCCAGCAATCGGCTTATGTCTTCAGTGAGCTGGCTGTTTGGTTCTCTTTCGGACAAGTACATTTTTTTTCCTGAAATTAATGTATTTGGTTGAAGTTCATAGATTCTGTTTATCTGTGTAGGAAAAAAAATGGTCATGTATATTTTCTATTAGTTAAGTTTTTACATCATTAGAAATGTAAAATTCAGTCTAGTTTGATTGCGGCACAATTAAAAATTAATTTTCTAACAAAGTCGGGAGGTTGATGGTGGTTTTGATTTCATCTTGTGTACTCTGCTTACCTCTGTAGCATGCTCAATAAACACTTCTGTAGCTCTGTATTCTCTCTTCTGTCTCTCTCTGCTGCCTCTTCTTTCTTCAGCTCTGTTTTCTCTCCACTGTGCTTTATAATTCATATCTCTCTGCCAGGGTGGGAAACACTATTCATATTTTATATACAGACCTTCATTTGTAAAAAACCCTTAATTGGTAGCACATTGTGAAGTGAGAGGCTCTTATCACACATTCCATGACTTACTGGAGTTGGCAATAATTGGTCGACCTCAGTAGTCATGGCCTACACTTTCCCACCCTGCTGAATATCTTCTGCTTTTACAGACATTGCCTTTAATAATTACCTGTTTCTTTCTTTCTTCAGTAGCAATTGGAGAATTAGATCAGTTTCTCAACGCTGGTCACTGCGAACTGCTGTTGAAAAACTCTGTTTTAGATATTTAATTCTCTATTGCTACAGCTTCATTTCATTTGCATTTAGCTTTATAAAAATAACAGTTCCCTCATACACACACCATCTTAAAAGACTTGTAACTTGAAAAGGATCTATTTATTTCACCACATGTGTTATAATATGGCCATCTAATTTTTATACTATCAACTTTCAAAGTTTTGTTACTAATGGGGATGTGAATAATCTATCCAGTTAATTTGTATTCAGTCTGGCAGGCCCTTGCACTACATTCTTGTTGGTAGAACTACAGGAGATTTTAAAGTCAGATTTTAGTAAGTGTGATGATCTTTACTTGTCCTCATAAAATACTTTTTAGACTAAAATGGGAAAAAAAAAACTAATATCTAACAAAGCAACATACACCCTGTTGTAATTACTTTTCAATTCTAATTAGGTATGGTATTTCTAACCTATATTCATCTGGAGATTAGTTTCACGATAGAGTTGCCAACTGATTACTTTATATGAACATGCTTTGTGCTTATGGATATTTCCAGCAAATTGTTTTTTTCGAAAACATAGCTAATCATGATGGTCAGTTACGCAGGCACTGAAAATAAATTTATAACACATAAGCAGATGCAAATAATTCTTCCTTGCCTGTAAAGCTTAGCGATCACTTATATACAACAAAATGTCTGAACTGTGACTTAAAACTACAAGCTTCTCCAGAATTTGGTGACCAGTCCAGCACAAGACACAGTAGCCTATGACATAAGTTCCTAGGGACTTGACAAGAAGTCATTTTTGAACTGTGTCATAGCCTTCATGAAGACTTCGAGTTTCCTAGACTTTGGTGACCATTGCAGCACAATGCATGGTGGAATGATTAGAATTTTTGTTTAATTGAAGTTCCTCAAAAATGGAATAAATAACTGTGAGATTCGAAGACTAAAAATACATTATTATGTATTTGTTGCATTCTATTTCATCTGATTGACAGAGGTAGAGGTACATATGAAGCTAATGTAAATCTAGTGATGTACACAATAGCATAGGATTTTAAATTTGCTAGTGATCATACTTTTTGAATGAACCCAAATTTGCCTAAGCTGCACATAGATCATCTTTCTAGTCTGTTGAGGGTCACAGAAATCTAACCTTCAGGTATGTTGCTACTTGCAGAAGAATTGGTGGCTGACAAACAAAAAGCAAACTGTAAGGCAGCGCAGGCAAATCCCTCCTACCAGTATGTTTTTGTTTGTTTGTTTTTTTTTGCTATGGTGCTGAGAGGGTGGATATCTTCTTAGTTCTGATGTGTGTGAAACTAATGTAGCTTTATTAGCACCTTTTTTCTTATTCAAGTTTATTCTTCTTCCCCTCTTCTTTACAAAGCTGCTAGAGCTTGTTTCTTCCATTTTAGTCATCTGGCATGACTGTCCTTAGCTTGGCTTTTAGGGGGCGCTTCTGGAACTTGTTGGACTGGATGGTACAAAGGTAGCCTGAAAGTGACCTTCAGGGACTTTGTTCCACATAATGCATTTTATAAACTTTTTTTTTTTTTTTGGTAAAAGATAGTAGAACGTTTTCCAGGTCAAGATCTGCTAACATTGCCTTATCCTTTTCGTGTATCTTAAAGCGGAACTAAAGGCAATATACTTGCCTCCTCTCTAACACGGTTCAGGTCCCCCATCAGCATCTTCTCCCCAGGTGCTGGTCTTTGGCCATCTCCATTGACCAGCTTGCACTGGAGTCAGTCATCCTGAAACACGGGGACTGTGATGGTGACTTATGCTCTTAATTTACATGCCACAGAAGACTGCAAGCAGGCAGGTAGGTGTGTTTTTATCTCAAAAGAGACATTGCATTTCTTGCCTGAGATAATAGCCTGCATACTTGCACTCTGTTCAAAAAAAGCCTTCATCTCTGCCTTAAGATCTGCTTTGTGAGCTATCTCAATTACATAGTTTGCTGAAAACCTTTAAAACCGTGTCTGTCATCACCCCAAGCCATTTAACCCTCATCTGCTGCCAGTTATCAGGGTTTTGTGAGAACCTGAGGCTTTGTCATTGCCCTGAGCCTTACATGGCCTTGCTGTCATGCAGTCACAACATAGCTGCCTAGTGACCTAGGAACGACTCCCACTGTAACTTGTGCCCCAGCTCAACTCTACTAATGGATCTGTGGCCACTTGCAGCATACATACTGATGTTCCAGATGTCTGCAGCCCAGAACCCTGTTGCCCTCTGCTCCTAGACTCTATTCTTTCATTGCCTCTTAGGTTGGTCAGGTGTGGGCCTTGTTCCTTTGCCCTTTTGGGTGAGGTTTTTCATGCAATCATGCAAAACTTTATGGCCCAAATCACCTATTTTATTTACCTTTGATTTGCATCTGATTTAACCATGTCCTTAGTGGCTTCTGAGCCATCGGACATTGTTTCTGAGCCATCGGACATTGTTTCTGAGTTGCTCCAGTCTTCACTGATGAGCTTACTCTTGAGGATCAGTCTTTTGTTTCTACCAGTACTATTTCCAGTCTTGTGTCCTCTAGAACCCCTAAGGCTACAAATATTTTCCTATTGCACCCACTGCTCTAACTTTCCCTATAGAGCATGGAAATATCCTAACAAGTTGTTTGTTCCCCCAAGTGCTTATTAGCATTGTATCTGTTTGGGGAGGGTTTTATAGAAAAGTGGTTTCACCTTAAAGTAGCATTAGAGAAATTATTTTTCGGATTTACTTTGAGTACATTATTAGGGATGCTACTTATGAGCACCAATCTTCCTCAGGAAGACCAAGGAACAGACAACAAGGTCCTTTCCCTCTTTAACTCTTCAACATCCCTTTTGATTCTGTACTCCTGCACCCTCTGTATTGAGACCCCCCTAAGTTTTGTTCCCAGTCCACCCACATCGTGTGGCGCTTTTTGTCTGCCAAATCTGAAGACAGGCCTTCCTCAGTATGAAGGTGAGGCTTCACTTTCCAGAACTGGGGGACATTTGTTAACCTTTGCAAACACTTGAACAGGTTGTAACTTAGATGCTTGAATGCTAGAAGGTGGTATCCCAGGGCTACACACTAGAGTTTAGCTCTCTGCCCCCTCCTCGGTTTTCACCTACAACCTTCCTTTTTCACTGCATAGATTAGCAGATCTTGATCAAGTCCTTTTGGGTTATCGTTGTTTCAGTTCATGTGGCAGAATAGATTCAAGGATTTTA